GAGCTCTGGCCCAAACTAGCAGTGGTGGTGGACGACGGACCAATAGGAGACCACAGCCGCCTCGGATCAACAGTGGTGGACCTATCAGTACTCGGCAAATACCGCATCATCAGACCAGGCTGGTGAGTTCATGCTCTTATTGACTTAACTTACACTTTAGCTGCGGCTAGACGTGCCCCTTTTCTCTCTATATGAAATCATATGGTATACAGGAGCACTCAACCTTTACAAAACACAAAGAACTATTAAAGGTTTATTACAAATAATACAAACCTGGTCTTATATGCAGTCAGCTTTTCTTAAATTGCACTGAGCAATTACTTTAGCATTTAAGTGGTTTTACATTTGACCAATGATATATGTGTTTGGCCTCTTGACTATTTATTACTGTTTATGTTCACAAAATAGATTTGAAAGATAAAGGTCACATTATACTTCTATGCAACGACATCACGAAAACAAAGGATGTGAAATGGTGGATCAGGTTTTTTACGTAAATATTGATTAGAGCTATCTGTATGAGGCTGATGCTGCAGTTTGTTATCTGGTAATGTAATATTGCACAACACTACATCATTGACAGAGTAATGATGTGCATTTCCATAATATACATATGCAGTGTCCCAAATGCATCTTACTTTCTCATTGGGTTTTTTAGGATGCAAAGGGGAAAGGTGACAACATGTAGTATACTCAAAGCAGACAGTATGGATATTATACTAAATCCAGTCCGTTTTGAGTACTACTTTGGAGGATGCTTACAGGTAGAAAATATAAAAAAATATTTTGAAGTGGTGGTAAAAAAGCTCGAACTAAATGTTTGACTGTTTCCTGATTTGCATACTTACACTTGATACTATGAGTGCATTAGTGTGTTAATACCCACAAGTATGGCAAAGTGTGGGGTACTTATAGTGTCTTACCATCCAGAGCTTTAGCCGTGTAGCGGTCGCTCCGATGAACACCAGAATCATACAGATTTCAAGTAAGCAATATTATGATATAATATTATGTGGGTGACAATGGCTGTTTGAAATGTGCCATTAAAATAAGAAGAAGCAGTCAGATGTTGGGACTTTCATTTCTGGCTAGTCTATAACAGCCGTTTGAGATTTGAGAAGACACTTCGAAATGCACGCACTACACAAGTAAGTGAATAGTGTACACAGTGTACTTCATGGAAGTGTCATTTCTAAAGTGTTACCATTGAGACAGCATTGTTAAAACTTGTGAAGTGAAATCAACAGTAGCTTTCCAAAGTTGCAGTATTATTGACAACTGATGTTATACATATTGCTGAATTCAATATGAACTGCTGTAACAAATATACAAGGATCAGTATGTAGTACATGTTCTGTATAGAGTTAGTACTTACTGTAGTATGGATTTGAGGCCCTGATCACATTAGCCTATGCACATTAGCAGGGAAAAGTTGAGCAAAGAGGAAACATATTCTTACATTTGTTAGTCATAGCACAAGAGACAAAGTATGCAAACTGAAGAGTAATAACATCCTCAGATTTTGCAGGTAAGTACATTTGCAGCAAAGGCAGAAGTACAGGCTAATTTTCTAGAAAGTCATTTTTGGTTTATTGCTGTGCTTTCTATTAAAGCAACACTGTCATCACAATGTGCTCCACCACTGGGCGGGGCGGGGGTGCACCTGCAGCACCAGATGTAATTATGAATCTCTGGGAAGCTAGTAAACAAAGCATGTGGATTCAGGATATGTAAATGCCGTAGTAATTAATGGTGTTTCTGCATCAGATTCAAACATGGCTCCTCGGTACATGAAGTGACTGTGATTCTGTCTTCAGCGCTCTCTCTTCTACGGTTGATGTGCTGGAGCACAAATACGGACTGTCAGAGGACTCGGGGAAGAATGACCTTGTCTGAACTGTCTACTCTCCACAAGCTGAGACGCACAAACAGCGTTGACCCCGGCGGGGGGGGGGCTTCTCCTGAATGATTTTCATGGTCACATTGGAAATGGATCTTTTGCGGGAAGGACTCAAACTCAGGAAAAACATGATGGCAGATATTTTTCGAGTGGCGGCTTTAAGGTCTGGAGTAACTTCTCTTTTCTCTATGAACACAATTCATGCCTTGCTTATTATGTTGGGGTTTCAGAGTCTCACATTTCTGCACCATTCAGAAAAAGGTCAGTTACATAGTGTGGGATTTGATGGTTGTTCTATAAAATATACACTATTTTCTTTGTATTGCCAAAGCTTTGAGGCTACAAGGAGAATACATATTTAGTTTTTATTTTAATATTTCTATAATGAAAGAGGTGTTAAGGCACTTATTTTATGGTTTGAAATGGTCTTTAATAAAATAAGGGAGGGGAGAAGTTCTGTGAATGTCATGGATTATACATCTAAATTGTTGAGTCTAGATTTATTTTGTATTAACTTATGAATCCCCTATATTTATTTGATCCGCTTGTCAATCTAACATTGACAGATTTACACTATAATTGGTATCCTGCTGTTGTAGCTTAAAATACATTGCATTTACCTTTTTTGAAAATACTGTACAATTTCATCCAGACTGCTGTTGATTGGCATGTTGAGCATGTGGATAAACAATAATACAACTGCCAACTTGCTCATTTCAGACTTATTTTTTAGATTCTCATCGGCCGACGTTACCTTGTTTTGGTGGATTTTTAAACCTCGGCATTGCCACAATAAATATTTTTTTCAGTATTGAAGTCTTATTCGTCATGCATGAGAAATATGTCCGCATTTTATTTCTAGGGGTGTTTCTCAATGTCGAGGAAGGCTGCTCCAGAGCCACTATTTCAAGCATACGTCATCGAGTGCCGCCGAAGGACTGTTCCAATGTCCAGCATACTTAGAATTCTACCGGGGCCGGCGTACTTCGTAGCGGGATATTTCGAGGCTGCACATGTGTAGACTCCGCGGTCTTAAAATCCCGACAATGCTTTGCGCACGGAACAATTTCCAAATCTTTGGCGGAAATCGTGCTCCATTTAAGGCGGGGCCTCGCATATGACGCACACCTGCACACCTGTTAGCCTGTTCCGCAATAGAGAACCGCAGTGACGCGTCGTAAAACCCGGAAGTAAACTTCTTCCGGTTCCTTCTTGAAAAACCAATGCAAATTCTCCATAGGATTTTGGAAAATAGCTCGAAATAAGGTCTGTGGTTGACACACATTTAAGAGAGGGATCACGTTTTGTTCAGCCGGATAATCTCCACATGTCAACNGCACACCTGTTAGCCTGTTCCACAATTCTTCGTTTTCCGAGGCTAGGAAGGATTCTTGCATCGCTTTTGAAGGACCTGACTTCAGAAGCGTCTTCCAAGGAAGCATCCTCGACATTGAGAAACACCCTAGGTCACCCGACCCCCCGGGTGGGCGCCAGGGGGGTCACGCAAAGTTTGAGGGAAAGGGGAATCTTCTTCTTTTTTTAAAGATACCTTTTATTTATTTTTTTAGATGTAATTAATAACTGTATATCTATCAATCTATGTGTCCTTTGATGCCAATCTTTTAATATTTTTATTTATTAATATTTTATTTTATTTTTTTGTTTTTAAATCACACGACCGCCCTTCAAGCCAATCAGAATCGAGCTGCCGCTACTGAGAGTGAAACTGAGTATCTGCTCAGCTTTTGGAGCTAGTGAATATTTCGCTCTGCAGCTGGATGAGAGCACGGATGAAGCCAATATTGTTTATATATATATATATGAATATAAATATGTTTATTGTTAATATTACTGTTGAATATTATATAGAATATTATTAAGGCATAAGTAGTTTTCTAAAATGTTAATTGTTCATATTACTGTTCAAAATTATATACTATTATAAAGACAGAAATCACTTTAAAAATGCTTTAAAAATATGTTTACTGTTGATATTGTGTTAAGAATGTTTATAACAGAACACACAATGAATGTAATGAATGACAAACAAAAGATAAATACAAAAATGTTTAGAAGAATAACTGATTATTAATTATTAATACTAATATATATTAAGAAAATGTATTAAGCTGTATGATTAGTCATACTCATCATTTTTTTTTTTTAATTGCAAAAGGGGGGTCCCCGCCAGAGGATAATGCTATATGGGGGTCCTTGGCATGGCAAAGTTTGGGAACCCCTGCCCTAGGTGTCTGGAGGTTAGTCTTTTTGAAAGAAAGAAAGAAACAACCAGCAGAAACCACTCAGTACCAGCATACTTTTATTTAAAGTACCCTTTTACTTGAATAGACAGCAGGCTTTTATCAAACAAGTCCATATAACAGAGTGCTCCAGGAATTGGTACATTTCTATTCATGTATCCACTTTTAAACATCGAGCCTTGGCCTTAAAACTTCCCATTCTGTTGTTGTTATTAAAGTAACTGAAGGTAATGTTGCCCACGATGAACATGGCTTCTCTCCATAAAAGGAAATTACACCAAATCTCAGATTAGCTAACTGGTAAATATTAGGGAAATGTTGCTATATTTGGACTGTTTTTGCAGCCATAAGACGGGCTGTCTGATTCACTTTACTTCCAGACGGATTGATTTATGCTGATGTTGATGCTAATCTGAATGCTAACACTTTAGGGTATATTATTTTACTTGCCAACAAACGTACTTTTTCTGACATTTGTGTTAAGCTCATCATTAGTTTTAATAACCTCTTTAAACAAATTTGAAAAAATCGTAAATAAGTACAAAAACAAAAATTCAAATATGTTATTTCAAATAATACAAAATAACAACTGACTCTTCGAGGGTGAATCTAGATTTGAAAATGAGTTGTAAAGGTGCTGCTGGTCAATTAATTGTGTTATCATTGGACAGAACTGAGCTGTCTCCCTTTTTCTAGTCTTTATGCTAAGCTAAGCTAACTGTCATATTTAACAGGCAGATATGAGAGAGGTATTACATTACATGTTACTTGTTAGACGTATCCCCACAGGAGCAATTTGGGGTGAAATGTCTCAGGGACACAACGACATGCTAACTGCAGTGGGGTTTGAACCTGTGCCCCCCTGATCCGAACACCAAAGCACTAATGCACTGCGCCACACGCCTCCCTGGTATCAATCTTATCTTCTGCCAGAGAGGGAATTGCTTAACCCTCACTTACTGCTTTTTAAACACCATGTCCTCACCATTTGATCAATCCTGCTGGTAAACTGGAACATCTGTATACAGAAACAGTGTCATTGGGTTAGACGTAAAGTGTGCATTAAGTGTCGGGGGATTGTAATGGATTCTTTATTTCATGGTTACAGTTTTCTTAGTGTGTTTGTTTAGTTTTATTAAGTTGCATTAATTTAGAAAAGAGCAAGAGACGGCTGACGAAGCATTTCAGAACTCCCCAAGAATAACCCTTTATTACAGCTTTACCCCAAAACTCAACCAGGACAATTCGTACTGAGGACACAGTGTCCTAACCTGCCAGATCAGCACGTGTGCACAAACGTATGCATGCACAGAAACTCGCGCATCTGGTCTTGTTGAAGGTCATAGCATGTCCTCATACACTCACATCTCAACAGTTCCTACATTCACCCCCCTATCTTTCTCCTTCATGTGTACACTACACACACTTCACTATAGCATGCCGTTTCAAGTCTGTCTAAAAGCTCACATGAGCCACTGCTGCTTCTCTTTGTTGAACTGCTCTGCCCAGCGGCGGGTCAACTCCAGGTAGTGATCGGGTCCGTGTGGCTGATAGTCCAAGTAAACACGAGTCACAGTTTTTTTGGGCATCGCTCTCTCTATCTGCGTCCCCTCGTGCCACTCATTAAAGGAAGTGATGGTGACGATTTCCGGCCTGGCATTGAGCGCCGCCTGCTGGGCCGTCTCAAAGTAGCGACCGTTCACCCTGTTGCGCATGTTGTGGTTGTTCCACGGCCGGATGCTCGTGTCGATATAACCGGGTCCAACGCTGGGGATGAAGATGAGGTTATTGCCGTCGCAGAAAGCTTTGATTGCCTTCCAGTTCTGGTGAGAAGAGCCGAAGGAGAAACCGTTGGAGGCAAAGTAAGTGTACATGCCATCGAAGCCCCCGGCGAGGATGTCGTGCTTGTGGCGCTCCTCCACTATCAGGGCGATGAAGATGGAGTCGTAGGCTGAGTCTCGCACACTGTGGGCGCCGGTGGGAGTCAGGAATTCAGACCAGGACTCTGGAGGAGTCAGGTACGAGTCGTAGATGTAAAATAGAGGAAGGCTCTTCCCTGTGTTGGTGGTATACTTGAAGAAGGCTCCATGGTCACCATACCTTTTTTTAAAAGACGACAGTTACATGGTTTGTTAGTGTCAACATAATCAACCTGGTTTGTTTACAGATTCAGTGATAGGATAGCTTTGACAGTAAAGTATGTGTGTTCAAAGTGTATATCCCTTCTCCTGGTCAACACGTGTCGGCACAATCTGCCTGGTTTTGTTGAATGTGGAATACGAGGAGTACAGCAGAGGAAAGCTCATGTTGGAAAATGAAAAGTTAATCCTCTGGGGACCCTGAATCTTATTTATTATATCTTGGGAACAAGTGGATATTATTTTTTGCCTGATGGCACTTCAAACCAATCAACAAGCTATTAGCCACCATGGGCCAGTCTGTACTAACTCATACTATGCAGCTTATCGTTGTGTTAGGCCAACAGGGCTTTCTTTATGTACTAATTGAGATCCAAAGGTTTCTAAATATGTCTGGATACATTTTGGAAATGATGCACAAGACAGAGAGAAGAATGGAGATGCTTTGAAGTGAACAAATCCAGCTAAAATATAGTAAATATTGGCTTGTATTAAACATGGCATCTGTCCGAAGTATATTTATTTCAATGGCAAGTAAATGTTGATGTTGTCTTCATACGTTTTTTAAGCTGCTGTCAAATAGCCGGATAGGGTACTTATCCTCTGGGTACCATGAATGTCCAGCAAATTATTTTTCCAAATTAAACCAAATGGAGGTGCTCCAAAACATTTCATTTTGTAAATACACGAAGGATAATATTTCTTGTTCAAATGTGTTGGAAACTGGATATTTTTGGAGTCATGATTTCGAGTCCATCGTGTCAATGTGCCAGAGTTAGCCATACTGGCTTATTTTAATCTGCAGTCCTTTTTCAGAGCAACCTTGATCCTAACATTTTGCTTCCAAAAGGCATCCATAAGTCATGAAACTAGTCTTATATAATCAGAAATGCTTTCAAGAAGTATGTCTGTTCTGTAACTAATGTTCCTTTAACTGAGCATGAAATATGAATGACTTCCTTCTTAAGTTGAGTCGATGATGGAGAAGTGCAGCCTACCTGTCAATGATATACTTGATGTTGTCGTGCACACTCTGGTCGTTTCGTTCTCTGTATGTTTGGATGTGAAATGCAACCTAGGAAAACATGCAGAGAGAAAAAACCTGGTTAGTTTTTTATTTATCATATTATTTCCATTGTATTGACACATTCAGAGGGGGAGACTTCTCATACGGGCCTGACAATGGCAATGTGAATCTGGTTTTAAATTGAAGTTGCCAGGAAATAAATAGCTCAATAAGATGCACACTATATGATAGCCAAAGGCCGTGAGAGCTGATCGGACTGCAACATCTTAAAAAAATGGTTCTACCTTTTCAATGAAGTCAGTCTTTCTGACCTTGTGTTTCACTACAGTTTGGCATGATAACAGACGTCTAGTTTCTCTGCCCTAGTACCATGTTACAGATGACCATATTTACATGTGTTCTTGAAAGCCTTGAATAAGACTGACCTAGAGAACAGCACACCACAGTTAGCCACTCAAGCAGATCCCTTCAGACAGGTTGTGACAAAAGAACCATGTTTTAACCGCTCCATTTTCATGATGAATTGTGTCCTTATGTAGATGTTTTTCACCCTAACTGCTGCCCCCCTGGAGACTTTTGTTCATGCCTCGCCAAAGAAAACGTGTATTTGCAATTGACGAACAAACGCAGCTAAGGGACCTGAAGTGACAAGTACACAAAAAATGCTTAGGTTGAATATTTCAACGAATGGCCGGAGAATTCAGAGAGTTGAATAATGCATGATCCGAGTGAAACACTTTTCTCCTCTGGACACCCATGGGGAACAATGTGAAGGAAAGGGGCTTTTTAACATGCTGAAGGCCAACAGTAACTACATGGATCCAGTAAGACGCATCGCCTCTCTTGTATAACTCCTCTCTTATTGTTGATAAAAAAAAAACATTAAGAAAGTCTGAATTTAGAACATTGTTTTGCTTCAACTAGAATAGGACTGATTAGACATGACATGTTTGACCTGGTGGGCATTTTAAGTGATGACCGGAGTTATTGCACTTCATCCGCAGAGGGACATGCATCTGTGAAGCAAATCTCATAGGAACCAATTCAATAGCTGCAGAAATATTTCACTTTGCAAAACCATTAGATTTCTGCTGGTGGTGCTGGAGGGAAAGTCAAGGGATCAACAGTCTTCAAGTCTTTAAAGGGGCCCTATTGGGATTTCCCTTTCCTGTAGTTTGATATATTTGTGCATGTAAATGGACTGCGAAGGCAAACATGATTAAGCTCCCTCCAGAGGTAGTTTCTTTCATCTCATCAACACATTGTACGTGATAGGCTAAGGGGTATCTCTAAGCTGTGGACCAATCACGACAGAGCCGGCCAGCTAACCAATCAGAGCAGGCTGGTTTCAGACAGAGGGTGAATTGTGCCACGAATTACACATATGAGGTTTGTCAATCTTAAAAAAATATTTCCATGTAAAAAAAGTCAGAGTTTGTCGTAAAACTGTTGAAATATAAGACTATGAAAAATACGCAACTAGAAAGACTGCTAATCCCAAAT